ACTTTTAACATGTTTTTTTAAAGCAACCACAAAATTTAAGTAAAATTTTGTTTAATTACATTTAAAGTTAAGGAGTAATTGTTATGTTTATTTAAAAAATATAAACATTTTTCCTTAAAGCAACATGCTGCCAGCAACATTTGTTGTTAAGCTTTAAAAGACATAAATTTTGTTTAAATTTTAAAGCTTTTTTTTCATTTTAATAAAATAACATCAAAAAATTATGTTTGCTGAGAAAATCTATATATGTTGTCTTAAAGCAACATGTTGCCAGCAACATTTCTTTACTAGCTTTATAAAAGCTTTAATTTTTATTAAAAAATGTGTAAATTTTCTCTTCTTTCTGTACTTTTTATTATGACAACATCAATAAACAATATTAGACTTGAAAATCTAAATACTATTCCTTAAAGCAACATGTTGCCAGCAACATTTGTTAGTTTGTTGGTTAAATTTGAAAACTTTTCACTTCTTTTTTTTCATTTTATTTAAAAAAAACATCAAAAAATTCAAATTTTAATTAAATTTTTCATAATGTTCACTTCCTCCTTTTCATTTTATTCAAACAAAATCCAATAATAATGTTAACCTAGCAAATCTTTTCATATTTCCTTAAGCAACATGTTGCTAGCACATTTCTTTAACAACTTTAGTAAACTTCAGTTTTAAATTATAATGTAAAGCATTTCCTTTGCTTCGTTTTCATTTTATGAAAAACAATTAACGTTAAGCAAGAAAATCTATATATGTATACTTAAGCAACATGTTGCCAGCAACATTTTTTAAGCTTAATTTTAGAAAATTTAATTTTTTGCTTAAAAAGCTAAAGATATTTTCCTTTCTTTAAGTTTCTTAAAAACAACAACAAAAAATTTGTTTAACCAAAAATCTTTCTATTAATTCTTACAGCAACATGTTGCCAACCACATTTGCTTAACAATTTAAAAAAATAAATTTTGTTAAATTTTTCTCTTTTAAAAATAAACTCAATTATAAATAATTAATTATAAAATTCTGTAACAAGTCCTTTAGCAACATGTTGCCAGTAAAATTTATTTAACAACTTTAAAAGAATTTAAGGTTTTTCTCCTGCGCTTTGCTGCTTTTTTTCCATAACATAAAAACAAAATCAATAAATTTTCTTGAAATAAAAAAATTTTATGCCAAAGGGTAAGTTTAATTGCTGAAACCTAAGTTCTGTTGAGTTGAGGCTCACTTACAACGACATTTGAACAAATGAAACATTGACAAAATTGAAGGCGACAACATAGACAAAAAAAAAACAAATCAAATAGACAGACAACAATGAAAACAAAAAAGCTTTAAAAAAACCTCAACAACATGCAATTTCTATTTGAATAGAAGGGACATAGAGACGGAAGGACAGTGAGACAGACTGGCCCATAAAACAGTGACATAAAGGCAGAGCTCGCACAATAACGACTATAAATGTATACATACATATATAGGAAGGCATGAAAATTGTCATTAATATTTGTCACTAAAATTGTAGGTCTATGAATATACTGCAAAAATTTTCAAACTTACGTAGACAAATAAAAAAAAAAATTTCAATGTCCATTTGCTTTAATGGTCAAAAGCATACATACATACACACAACAAGGACTTTGAAGTACTGTGCTTTATGGTGGCTAAACATTGTATGGGGAAAGCAAGAGAGAGAGAAAAAAAAACTAGAACTTGTATTAAATAAATGTCATTTAAACACGCTCATATTTGTTTAAAACTGCAGGTCCTGTTTAGGTCCTGTTTTAGCTAAACTGGTGAGTTTCTATTAATTTCCATTTATTGTCTGTTTGGGTGTGAAATTATAATAAAAAGTCTTTGGGTGTTAAGCTGGTATAAAGGATTTTATAGTTATATTTAGAGAGTAAAAGGGTTAAGGTTTTGTTTTTTATAGTTTCTACGCTTAATTTATTTAGTTGTTGTGTTGGTGTTTGTTAACTTAAAGTTCATAAATTTTATTGAACATGTTGTAAAGCATTCAAAATATATATATATATATATATTTTTTATATCGTGTGGAAACTATTTGATTTTATGTTAATTTTATATACAAAACACATAAAATTCGTGTTTAAGGAATTTGAAGTAAAAATTTTTGTTAGAAATAAAAAAAAGGAAAAATTAATTAATTCATAAATTTTGTTTAGATAGAAAAAAAGAAAAGGGTTAAAAGTTAGTTGTAGGCCAATTAATTTTTATGGACTCAACACAGTTGTTTAAGGCCTAAAAATATATATTTTAATTTTCTGTTTAATTTAAAAGAAAAAACTAAATTTATTTAAATTTTTTTGAGAATTTTTGTTCTTTAACAAACCTTTAAGAAATAAGATGTGTTTGTGTAAATGGCAGTAGTAGACAGTTTTGTTTAACACAAGTATCAATTCATTAAAATGACAATTCCACAAAACTACAAAACAAGCTGCTGCTGCTGTTGTTGTTGTTGCTGGCTTTAGTTCCTTTTTCCAGGAATTTTTTTTTACAAACATTGCTTTAGATTGTACGTGGTCAAGATGTTTTGCCTTTTTTCGTTTTAAAAAAGATTTCACGCTTTAAGCCTGTTCCTAACACAGCTAATAAACCAAACTCCTTGTTTTCATTTTAAAGCACAGAAAAAAGGAAAGACAGAAAAAACAGGGCTTAAGTAAAAAGTACCTGTCTGTCTTACAAAAACAGACACTTTTTACCAACAACTGTTTAAACAAAAATGATCAGTTTGTTCTGAGCTAGTGCAACAAGTATAAACATGTTGTGTTTTGTTTTCTGGTGTTTTTAAAGGGCTTAGGTTTTTTAAGACAATCCTGATCATGATCATGTTTAATATTGACCAAGCTGTTTGCTGTTTTCAGACTCGATCGGGCGTTGATCATGTTTTACGTTGATTTTTAATTGATGTTTAGTTTCAAAAACTTAGCAACAACAGCTCACCTGTGCTTTAAGTAAAAAACCAAACAGTTTTTATACATTTATTAACATAAATTAAAACAGTGAATTAAAAAAAATTTTTGGGTTATTGAAGGTGTTAACGTTGTTGTAACATTATTATTAAGAAAAATTCCCAAAACAGAGAAACATATTGACAATAATCCTTTAGTTAAGTCGTAATATTTTTTCCAAAAATTTATTTCAACGCCCACTACACACACGCACTTTATATGTAGACAACAGTTTTCTTTTTGGCCAGATCCTTTATGTTTAGTAATTATGTGACGATCTTGTTAAAGTTTAAATGAAATGCAAAGCAAAATCTTTAGCTAAAAAAACAACAACAACAACAACTCATACCACATTTTAAACTACAACTTTAACAGATTGAATCTGTAAGAGAAAAAAAGTAAAATAACTAAAGACAACCAGCAGTGATCATTTGGTTGGATCGAGTTGAGATTTGTGATTTTTTTTGGGGAGTTTGTTTTTTTTTCATATAGCTGGCGAGAGCTTAAACATGACAACATGCCTAACGTAAATAAATTAAGTTGTTAACATGACAATTCAACAAAACTGCCTTGGTTGTACTGTGTTTTATAAAACTCTTGTTTTTTTTTTTTTTGCCTTAAAAATTTTAGCAATTGGAGTAGTGGAGCAACAGCCAGATACCGCAACCACAGCAGCAGCCTTTTTTATGTTTTTCTTTTTATTTTATATTGATTGTGTTTTATAAATGAAAAGTGTTAAATATTTGTGGCTGTTAAGATTAAATGAACTCAAAAGCAGAAAACTTGTAACTGTTTCAATGAGAAAATTAACTGAAGGTGTTGAAATTTCAAAAAAATTTTAAACGTTTAACTTTATGTAGACAAGAAAAAAATCATGTTTAATGCTTTTTTTAACAATTTTTCTAACACTTTTCTTTTTAACTACAACAAAATTTTAAAAATAATAACTTTTCCATTAAAATTTGTTTGCAGAATTGTTAAAAAATTACTGTTTTAATTACAGCAACCAAAATTTTTAGTTGAGCTAACTAAATTTTGTAGTAAATATAAAATTTAGGTTTGTTTTCGTTGTATTACCCTTGCTGCCACCAAAATTGCTTATTAAAAGCTTCAAAACACTCCGTCGTTTGTTAAAAACTAGAACTTTTTCTATACAATTAAAAAACACTGTTTGTTTTAGTTATATTTCTTTTACTGCAACCAAAAAGTTTATTAAAAACTTTCTAATTACTCAATAGCTTTGTAAAAAAGATTATAACAACTAAAATCTTTTCTATAAATAACAAAATATATTAGCTTTCGCTGTATTTCTTTCACTGCGACCAAAAAGTTTATGAAAAGCTCACAAATCGTTCGACAGCTTGTCAATGTGATTGTAACAACTAAAACTTGTTGAAATATATGAAAAATTGTTTAGCTGTATTTCTATTCCTGCTAGCAAAAAGTTTAGGAAAAGCTTTCAAAATACTCAATAGCTTTGTAAAATAGATCATAGCAACTAAAACTTTTTCTATAAATTAACGAAATAGATTAGCTTTAACTGTATTTATTTTACTGCAACCAAAAAGTTTATTTAAAGCTCACAAATCGTTCGAGAGCTTGTCAATGTGATTGTAGCAACTAAATCTATTATAATTATATAAAAAATGTTTGCTGCTACCAAAAAGTTTAGGAAAAGCTTTAAAATCATTCGTTAGCTTGTAATAAAGATCTTAGCAAGCTAAACTTTTCATTAAAAGTTAAACATTTATATGCTTTAGCTGTATTTCTTTTGCAGCAACCAAAAAGTTTAGGTAAAGCTCACAAATCATTCTTTCTTCTGTAGTTATACACAAACTTGTTTAATTTAGCAGTATTTTAGTTACTATAACCAATAAGTGTATTAAAAGCTTTCAAATTATGCTTTAGCTGAAAAATAAAAACTTAAACTTTTGTGCCGGGGACTAAATACCTTTAATTTTCTTTGTTTTACCAATTGAACTTTTTTATATAAATTTTATATTAATTTATGTTATTTCTTTCCTTTTCTCTACTTTTTAGACCTTGCAGTCGTTGCAAAGTGCCGCCAAAAGAGCGGGGACCTCATGTGCCAACTGCAAAACCACAACAACAACCCTTTGGCGGCGTAATGCCAGCGGTGAACCAGTATGTAATGCCTGTGGTCTCTACTATAAATTGCATAATGTAAGTATCTGAAAAAAAAATTTTCTTAAATTTGGAAAAAAAGCTAAAATTCCTTAAAAAAATTATAACCCCCCCGTTCAAAATAATAACTTCCGTTAAGAGCTGCTTTAGGAAACATTAACATGTTTATAATAATCCTGTTACATATGTAGTGCTTACCGACCTTTAATTTATTACCCACTGTGCAGAAAAATAGCTTGAGAATATTTGTAACTGATGATAGTTTAATGATATCACTATTTTATCATTTAAATCTCATTTTCGTTACGTTACGTTTCTTCTGGGGGATGTATGTCAGGAATCCTGACTAAACAGCTTAAGCGATTTCACACACCATTTACCACGTGCTAGTGATGCTTGCTCTCTTAAGAGTTATTCATAGATTTCCCACAGTCTCTCTTTTTTTCCATGTAATGTTAATGAAAAACAATAACAAAAACAAATAAACCAACAACAACAAAGCCAAAAATTAGATTTGTTTGTAGCCAAGGAAATTTCACCCTTAAAAGCAGGGATGGAAATTTCCAAAAAGTTTAAAAAGCCAGAATTTGTAAAGTATTTCTTAATTCCATTTAGTTTTGCTTACAAAACAAACCAATTTACCAGCCCTGAACTTAATGAGAAATCACAGTTAAATACTGTTCTTTCTCTCTTTTAATGCTTAAAGCTGGAGTATGAGTATAAGCAGCTAGTGTTGGTGTGTATAAGTGATGGTGTGTATTTAAGCGGAAGCTAAAGGAAAAGGAAATCAAATGCTTGCACGCGGGCTTATTTATATTCATTACCCCTGGTCTGTATTTATACATTGTTTTTTTTTTTTTATTTTTTTGTTAGCATAGAATAAATGAAACTAGTTAATCAGTTTAAATCTGATTTAACATTTTTTTGGCATCATTTATCGCATCTTGTTTTTGTTTTTTTTCGAGTGAGATAAAAACATTAAGGGGGAGTTTTTGTTAGACAAAAGCTTAATAACTCCCCTCCCGCCACACACAAATAAATGTTAAACTTTGGGTTGTTGGTCTGATGATGGATTGTTGATTATTATTTAAAGATGCTATTTACTGCGTGTGTTGGACTGACAAACGTTTGTCTACTTGCCTGTTAAGAGTGCGTGTGGTACTTGAAAGATAAGCATTTTGAGGGTGATAACCAGTCACCCACCCTACACAGCCTCTATATACATATAACACCAGCTTTTTCCGTTTTAAACGTTTGACTGTGAAAATGCGATAACATTTTATTTCAGATTTTTTTATTTTCCTACATATAAGACGGTTTAAAGTAAAAAAGTGTTTTAAACATTAATGTGATTGTTGTTTAAAAAAGATTTTTTGTTAAAGATAAACTAACCATAATAGATGGATTTGAAAGGGGGGGGGGGGGGGTCAAAAAGTGTGTCTGTATGTGGGTTTGTTGGTTTTAAAGTGTTTTGTTTATTGGAAATTAGTTGGATTTAGAATATAAAAAGCAGGGGTTAGAATTTTAGAAATTAACTCATTAAATTTAATAACTTAAAGTTAATTGTAAAGAAGTTTGGTTTCAAAATTAATTTAATTAATTCCAATAAGGGAAATGTTTTCGCATAATTTTCTTAAAATTTCTTTCAAATAGTTTCCCTTAAATCTTTAAATTTTATTTAAATTTAATTTTTTAACTTATTTCTCACATTTATCATTTGTTTTCTTTAATTTCTTTTGCCCTTAAGCTTCAGTTTCTTAATTTCCAGTCTTAGTAAAATGTCTGTCCTTCCGTTGTGCTGTTTTATTTTTTTGTTACTCTTTTAGTTTCCTTACCAGCAGCCCATTAAATATTCATTATTCTTTCACTTTTCTTTGCTTATTTTCTTAAGCGTTTTGTAATAAAAATGTCGTTGTTTACATTAGAAATAATAAGTTTTTTTTGGGAAACTTAATTATGTTGAAAAAATCCCAAAAAAATTTGAAAATTTATGAAATTTTTTTAAGGTTTTTTGTTTTAAAAAGTTAAAATAAGTCGTAAAATATGTCGGCAATTTACATGTCAGTGATTTTTTTTAGTAAAGGAAAAGTTTTTTCAAAGTTTTTTGTTCTAAAGATTTTGGGCGTAAAAGTTTGGTAAAAAAAGTTGGTAATTACCTTAGAAAACTAAACAAAAAAACCTGCTCAAAACTTTAAGGAAAATATGAAAATTTATAAAATTATCTAAAACTTTAGTTGCTACTACCAAAAACTTGTTAAAGTCAAACAAATTTGTTCAGTAATTATTATATTTCTATAAAAACTATCTTAAGTTTATAAAAAACTGCATTTGTAGCAGTTAGATTAGCTATTTTTTAAAAATATAATTGTGTTAACCATTTTAATTAGTTAAGCTAACAAAATTTTGTTAAAGCAACTAAATTTTTAAGGTTTTTAAAAAAAAAATTTTTGATAAAATTATCATTACTACTAAATTAAACTTAACTTTTTAAGCAGAAAACCAAACAAACTGCAATTGTAGCAGTTAGATTAACCGTTTTTTAAAAATATAGTATAGTGGTAACCATTTTAATTAGTTAAACTAACAAAACCAACTAAATTTTTAAGTTTTTAAAAAACAAATTTGGATAAAATTTTCTTTACTACTAAATTAAAACCGACTTTTAAAGCCGAAAACCATAATAAGTTTTTCAAACTGTTGCTAATAAACAAATTTTTAGTTGTAGTAACTAAAAAACAAGCATTTTTCAATATTTTGAAAGCTTTTTTACTTTTATGTGCACAACTGCTGCTGCTATAGTTTTTCATAAAAATAAAATCTGTTTGCAAAAAGTTTAGTAAAATAAAAAACTGTCTAGTTAATTGACTGTTAAAAAGGCAATAAAACAAATAAACCAACAATATGAACGTAAACATAACAAATAAAATAAAACTAACAACAATTGCCATTGATTCGTTGCACATTTACTATACTATATGAATAAATGAATGTACTACTACTGTTGGTTTATCTTAGATGAACTAACAAACAAAACAAAAATGTTAAATGAAATATATTCCATACTTCAAACACATGGGTAAAAAGCTTGGCAAAAATTTTATTACAGCTACCGGCACTTTGGGTGGTTTAATTAAAAATACTGAAAAAAAAAAACGCACATTAACTATTCTGAAAATCAAGTCAAGTCAGTTTGCTGCTATCTAAATATAGGACACATTTACACACTCTGCGAACAAATTTAAGTAAAATTTGCACTCGCGCCAATAATATTTTTTTATTTATTCACCAGCTAGCATGTCAACACCAGTATGGTTTGGCTCTCCTGTTTTAGCTTTTCAGATTTTCTTTTTCATATTCATAAAATGTTTTTGTTTTTTTTTTCTTGTATTCAAATGCATTTACGCTTTTTATTTTCTATTTTCTTGTCGTTTATTATAGTTTAACTCAAAAAAAAAAAAAAAGAAATGATTTCTGTATGTTCATTCGTTTATTATTGGATAGTTTCCCATCTTGATAAGATGCCAATCAGAAAGCGAGCATTTCATAAAATTAGAAAACCAAACAACATATATTAATGTTGCAAATCGTCATATGGTTAGTGTGTATAGAAATATGTGCTGGGAATTTATATAGAGGGATATATCAACTAAAATCGTTTATCGTTTTAATCGCTTTGTAAAAAGTTAAAAATAAATTTTAAAAATTTGTTCAAAAATTTTAAAATTTAACATAATTGCTTTAAGGAAATGATAAAAATTAAATGATAAAATGTCTGAAACGAAAATAGTTTTGCAAAATTTTGCCAACATTGGCTTTTATTAGTGTGAAAAGTGTTTTAAAAGTATTTTTCTCTACTTTTTAGTTATGCCTACTATATATTGTATTGATACAACCAAATCGTATTGCTTTCTTTAATTGTGCTGACAAAATTGTGTTAAGACAATCATATTTCTTAATAACAAAGAAAAATCTAAAAAATAATAAAATTTGTCAACATTAGCTTTTATTAGTGTGAAAAGTGTTTGAAAAGTGTTTTTCTCTACTTTTTAGTTATGCCTACTATATATTGTGTTGAGACAACCAAATCTTATTACTTTCTTTAGTTGTGCTGACAAAATTTTATTGAGACAACCATATTTCTTAATAACAAAGAAAAATCTAAACTCTTTATGATTAGTTTCATTAAACTGAGAAGATTTTTTTGTAGATCTAAAAAAAGCCTTTAAATTACTTCATAAAATTGCTAAATTTTTATAGTTTTTATAACAAATTTTTTTAAAAAAATTTTTATAGATTTTTTTTATAAGACATTTGTTTACCTGGACACAAACTAACTATGTACAACAAATAACAATAAAAGTACAAAAAATACCAAAGAAACAACAAAGAAAAAACATGCATTAAAACACCTTGCAACACAGCGGGATAACGGAGACTATAATGCAATAAGTAGTTTTTTTGTGACTATGATGGCGTCACATGCAACATTGATAACAATAAAAGGACAAACAACTAATCACTAAACATATTTACCTGTTATTTTCAACATATTTAAGCAAAAAACTCTTACTTTTCTTTAAACAAAACTACTCTTCTTTACAACATTTCTTTTTTTTTTGTTTTTTTTTTCTTGATATCTCATGTCTAATTTGTTATCAACAATTAACATGTTTGTTTTATATAAATGCCTTGATTGTGCCTCTAAAAATGTAACATAAATATATGCCACCCAGTGTCATAACATTAGCATGAATTAAGATTCAATTTTATGTATAAAAAAGCAAGCATAATTTTAATTTTTTTTTCTTTTTTAAAGTTTTAAAACAAAATGTGTTTAAAAAAACTACACGAATCAGTAGCTGCATCCTCTTTTCCTTATACAGTTGCAAGTACTGTCGTTGTTGTTGTCGAAAAGAGTGAGTGAGAGTCGGTCGCGTGTATGCTTATCAAAAATTAACTTGACAGCAGGCAGTTTTATAAACAGTTGGGGCAATGAAATGTTTTGTTTTTTATTTTTTATTCCTCATATACTATAAAAATCACTTTAAAAAAAATGTTGAAAATTATTACATATTAATGCAGCATGTTAAGGATGCGCTCGATTTAAGTTATGCATATACATATATCTTTTTGACGGCTCTGTTCCTCAACTTGCCACTACTTACTGCTACTTGTGTCAATATAATATATGAATTGTATTCATTCATAATTCTTTATTTTATAAAAAAAAACTTATAAAAAAATATGCATTTATAATTTACATTTATATTAATGAGTTAAACATTTAAAAAATTTATGCATGAATTCCATAAAGTTGATAGCATGACTTATTATTAGGGGGGCTTCACAGGCAGCAGTAAAATATAGCTGCAAAAACATACGAATTTTGTAGAACTTTGATAGTTTCTTAAAGTGCTTTAGTTGGTTTTTTTGTTTGGTTGAAGATGTTTTCTCAAACAGCTTTAAAAAGTTTCTTGAAAAGCTTTAAAGCTTTCTTAAAAAACTTTAAAAGCTTTTTTTAAAGAACTTTAAAATCTTTCTTAAAAAGCTTTAGAAGCTGTGTTAAAAAGCTTTAACAATTTTCTTAAAAAGCATGAAAAGTTTTCTTAAAACGCTTTTTGAAAAGCTTTAGAAGTTTTCTAAAAAGCTTTAGAAGTTTTCTAAAAATCTTTTGAAGTTTTCTTAAAAAAGCTTCAGAAACTTCCCTAAATATTTTCTTCGAGAAATTTGGAAGCGTTAGAAGAAGCTTTAAAAGCTTTTTTTGAAAAGCTTTAAACGTTTTTCTAAAAAGCTTTAGAAACTTGCTTAAACATTGTCTTCAAGAAATTTAGAAGTGTTATTAAAATGGTTAAGAAGCCAAGAAGCTGCCTTAAGGAGCCTTAGAAGTTTTCATTTAAGGAGCTTTAGAAGTTTTCTTAAAAATATTAAAAAGCTTTCTTAAAGAGCTTTCAGAGATTTTGTAAAGCTTTAGAAAGTTTTTACTATACAGACACTAATTTTCCCAACAACTTGTTCAAGAAAACCCTTAAAAGTGTTCTTATCATACTTTGAAAGTTCTCTTAAAAAGCTTTAAAACTTAACTTTAAATATGACTAAAAGCTTTTAACGTTTTCTTAATGAATGCTATTTTAAGATGGTTTAAAACTTAAGCCTTAAAACAAGTTATTTGCCCAAGAACTTTGAACATAATTATTATTAAACTTGAACCACCCTAATAAAACTTCATGATCATCTTCTTGATCATCATTATTATAAACATAATTTATATTTTTTTGGCCTTGGCTTTATGGCATGCTTAACATAACAATTTCTTTCTCCTCCCTGTCTTGATATTTAACAAATTATCACATTATACGTTAATATATTTTCAGCTCTTCAATTCCTCTCTTACGCACAGTGGGATTCTCATACTCATTTTAATCTCATTTCAGCGATCTAATATTTTAACGTTTTTTTGTGCATTAGAGAAATTCTTACATTGTTTGTCATTTCCTACAAACAAAAGTATCAATTACCAAATCAATTATAGGCCTTTCATCTAAATACTACAACAATAACAAGAACAACAAAAAACTAGGGGGAATCCCTCTTTGTAAAAGTAACAAATTTGTTTTGTTTGCTTTAAATAGAAGGAAATTGATACAGTTTAAAAGTATGCCGATTATTTCGGCATGATGTTGATTTTATTTAGAGATGTCCTTTTGCAACAAACAATAGTTATGAATAGTTGCATGCAACTTATGCAACCCTCCTCTCATAAGAAAAAACTCCTCTTTTTTCGGTTAAAAGCGAATTGCTACCTTTTGTTTCCTGCGTTTTGTGTTGATGTTGAGTGTGTTTACAATTTAACAATTGGCCTCGGTAAATCTCTTTTGTTTGCTCAACAAGAAATAGTTATTTTTAAGAGCCTCGCTTGCTCTTTGCCGTTTTGCTTGTTTAGTTAAGTACTTAAGTGTTTTTCTTTTCGTTTCATTTTTCGCCAACTCAAAATCTCGTGTTTTATGTATATGTATGTAGTTTTGTTACAAATTCATTCATCAGCCAGTCAGTCTGCATGTCCGTCTGTCAGTCCATCATTTCAGTCATTTTGTTTGCACTTAAACACTTTTTTTGTAATGCATTTATAGCTAAAGGTTTCCTTTACGCCCAGGTATGTTTGTGGCAGATACAAACCCTACTATGTATATATTTTATATATGGAACTTTAGCCAGACATTTAGTCTCAAATCAAACAGCCACAACCGGGGTAACTTAATATTGTAATTGTGGCACAATGAAGCGCAATTCTAACAACTACTATAATAGCAGCAACAACAACAACCACGACATTTTACAAAAAAAAAAAACTTAAAAAAATTCTAAAAGATTTTCCATAAATGATAAGCTACCCTTTTTTGTATGAAAAAAAGTACTAGTAAAAACCATGCCAGCCATTAGGTACAAGTACACACAATTTCTAGTTGCTAGAAATTTTATACTTTACTCATGGTCTGTCTCTCTCACAAACCAAACAATAACAACAACAAGAAAATAATTGTGCTACCAATGCAATTGTTGACAAACACTCGAGGAAAAATGTTAAACAAAAATGTTTGTTTTAGGATTGAAACTAAATTTGCTCAATAAACTTTTTAAATTAGTGATGGTGACAGTTTATTTAAAGCTTTAAAAAAGCTTTCCCTTTATGTTTATAAACATTTTACTAGGATACGATCTTTAATCGTGTTTTTATGTAGCACACAACTCAGAAACCAGACTTTTAATCTCATTTAAATGATAAACTTACTAAACTTTCATTAGATTCCAAATTCTAAAGCTTTTCTCTTTTAAGTTGCATGTTTTTAAACACATATAAGCTGAGAGTAACAACTAAGTTCTCTGAATGTTGCGGTTTGTTTTTAAACATGTGCATGTAAAAGCAAGAAAGTTCCTCATTAAAAGTTTTTCTCTTTTTGCTTGATTGCTATAAAGCAAGCTTGCAAAAAGTTCTGTTTTAAGGCAATTACATATGTGTAAATGCAAGAAAGCATTTGTTTAAAAGTTCTCTGAATGATTCGATTGGTATTTGAAACATGTATGAGCTTTTTTGCCTGTAAAAGCAAGGAAGCTTTTCATTAAAAGCTCTACTCCTTTTGCTTGATTGCTATAAAGCAGGCATGCAGAAAGCTCTGCTTTAAGGCAATTACTTATGTACGTGTTGTTTAAAAGTTCTCTGAGCGAGTAATAAGCACTATTTTAAGGCAATTAAACTTGTTTCATATTTTTGAACTAAACATTTTCTATGAGTGTAAACTTAGCCATAGTAAAAACCTACACATTCATCATTAACATTAACTCGTACACATACATACATATATACAATAAACTCTTACAGGGACATTTTTATATGTAAAATTACATACATATAAGTATATAAATTTATACAAAAATTTATAAATTAACCCAACCAACCAGCTGTAGTTATACAATTGTTGTTCTTGTAGTTCTTGTTATATATTCAGTTGGTGCACCAAACCATTATTATCAACGCATTAAAATCATATAGAGTTTTTTTTTTGTTTTCTTTCTAAATATTCGCAGTGGCTCTACACATTTTTAAAACTAATACACAGACATTCATATACATTTAAAAAATCTCTTATCTGATCATGTAAAGGAAAAAAAAATTGGAAAAAAACTATAATACGTTATAATGTAATGTTGCAAGCTTTTTCCGGTTCTCCTTACAAACTAAAACCAAAAGAGAGGAGGCCCAGGTTTTGCTAGATTTACATACGAAGTTTTTAAAACTCTAGTAGTTTTGGACAAATGCCTTTTAGCTGTGCTTCTACATATGTGTTAGTGTTAAGTTGTATACGTTTCCTGTTTGCTTGCCTTACATCCTTTTTGTAAAATTATTTACTTGCAGGCCTGGGTTTTTTTTTTAAATAAATCTAAAGGTCATATGTAGAGTGTTGTATTTTTTTTTATAATTTTTAACTGTCTTTTGTTTAATGTTTTTAAGCTAATTTTTTTCTAATGTTTTTTCTATTATTTGTATATTTTAGGTTAACCGCCCTCTAACCATGAAAAAGGAAGGCATACAAACCCGTAATCGTAAATTATCCTCAAAATCGAAAAAGAAAAAGGGTTTGGGAGGCGGCTGTTTACCCATTGGCGGTCATTTAGGCATGGGTGATTTTAAACCTTTAGATCCTTCTAAGGGTTTTGGTGGCGGCTTCTCAGCATCAATGGGTAAGTTTTCAAATTTTTTGTAAATTTTTATATAATTGTTATGTTTGTTATTTTTTAAACTAATTTTCATTTTGTTTTCTTTTCTTTTTTTAGCTCAACATGGCCATCTTTCCAGTGGTTTACATCCAGCTCATGCGCATATGCATGGTGGCTGGTATACCGGCGGCATGGGAGCTTTGGGTGCTTCCAGTGGTTTACAGGGTGGCTTTTCAACGGCTGGTTCTTTAAGTGGCGGTGTTGTTCCCCATTCTCAGCCTTATCATTTAGGTTTGGGTTCGATGGTAAGTTTTTGAAAGAATTTTTTGTTTTTGTTTTTATTTCCCATAGGAAAATATGTTTTAAAGAGAAAAGCTTTTCAAAACAAAGAGTTGAACGGTTTTTTTTATCAAAAAGTATTTCTTGGGAGTTTTCTCTTTAATTTGATAGAGATTTTTTTAACTTATGTTAACGAGTTTTCTCTTTAATTTAGAAGGCTTTTTCTTAATGAAAAGAGATTTTTATAATTTATAGCTGTTAAACAATGGTTTTCAATTAAAAATATTTTTAAAGCTTTTCAAGTAAACTTTAGAAATGCATAGGATTTTAAAAATTCCAAATTGTTTAACCAAAAATACATGGTTTTTAAAGCTATTAGTTTCAGTATTTTTTTACCAAAAAACTTTAAAAATGCAAAAGCTTTTGGAATACAATTTTTCCAGGTTTGATAAGAATAGGACTTGAAATCTTGAATAAAACGTTTTTCTTTTATAAAAAGATACAAATACAATACAAATACAAAATTTTAAAAGCTTTTTAAGAAAGTTTTCTTAGAAAATATTGCTAAAAAGTGTAAGCTTTTTTGTAACTCCTTTGAATAAGAAAATATTTTATATTTTGTCTCTAGTGTCAGTGAAATCTTTTGAGTTTTAGCTAAAAAATATTAAAGATTTTTTTTATTAGCTCAATAGGTAAGCTTTTAATGAAAGCTTTTCATAAAAATGTTGCCAGATTTGTGGTAAATAGTAAAAGCTTTTTAAAAATCATTGTATAAAAAGAAAAAGTAAATTTTTTCTGAAGAAAATATTAAAGATTTTTATATTAGCTTAATAAGAAAGCCTTTAATGAAAGCTTTTTATAGAAATGTTGCCAGATGTGTGGTGAATAGTAAAAGCTTTTTAAAAAACTTTGTATAAAAAGAAAATTTACATTTTGTCTGAACAAGAAAAACTAAAATTTGTAATAATTTTTAAAAAGTTTTTGTTAAAGTTTCTAGTTGACCTCAAACTTTCTTTAAACTCTCTTTTATTTAAAGCTCTCTTTTCTCTTAAGTCTTTTTTATTTTCCCCTTAGCTTTTTAAACTCGAAACTAATTTTTCTCTTTTTTTTCTTCTCTTTTGTTATCTTTTTAGGGTACTTGGCGTACTGACTATACGTGATGGAGCGGTAATAATTTAAATAATAATTTATTTAATTGAAATTGCTACAACTACAAACTCCCAAATATTTTTAAAATTTATAACAAGAACTGCTGCATAAAAACGCTAAAGATTTTAAAATAAAAATCTTTAAGAAAAAAGTTCCTACCAAAAACATAAGTAAAAGTAAAAACCACTTGTTAAAAACAAAATTCAACAAAGAAAAAAATAAACTAGACAAAGTCTTAATGAGTTGAGAAACCACAAGCCTAACAGCTACTGTTTACAACCAAAACAAAGAGAGAAGGAGAAGGTTTTCTCTTTTTTTTTTTTTGAGTTTCTTAATGTTTATTTAAATACCTATAGTAATGATAAAACGATGACTATATTATGGTGGGCTTAAGCAAAACCAGAGCCCGCCTTTAAAAAGGATTAAAACAATGTCTAGGCGCCTTTTAATCCGGATCTTAAATAAGTTATGTTTTAAATTAATTCTTGTAAATTTTAATCCCTTACTGTCTCTGTCTCTCCCTAAAATGCTATTAAGGCATGCAACAACCAAATTCCTAATAAATATTTAAATAAAAATGTATTATTTTTTTTATTATTAATAAACATAATTATTTTTATTATTATTATTAATTTAAGTATGTTATGTTAACATTGCGTGCAATTTATTAATTTATTATAAAACAAAACAAACAACAAATAAATTCACTCCTTTTTTATTAATATGTTTATTAGTATTTTATACAAAATAAAAATAAAAATCTTTTTTTGTTTATAGTTTTTATTTTATGTTAACAATTACTTGATAAATTATGGAGTGTAATAAAGAAAATTAAAATGCCATACAAAAAAAAAAAAAAAAATATTGTTGAAACAAACTGTTATGAATTGTTTTTAATAAATTCATAAATACAGCGCTAAAACAACAAAAACAAAAAAATTTAAAGTCAAATCACCAACAAATTCATTTAAAATTAAAACAACACTTACTAACCCTTGTAAAAAGAAATTAAAATGTAAATATTAAATTATAATAAACTAAACATTATGATAAAACAAACAAACAAACAAACTATTAAACAAACAAATATTAACATAAAAAAACACTTAATATATAGAAAGAAGAATATCATAAAAAAAGGCCTCATAAAATCTTAACATTTAATAAAATATTTATAAAAAATTTAAGAAAAATTTTATTAAATGTTTATATATAAATGTATATTCAATTAACAGCCTTTTAATGTAAAAAAATTCTTTATATAAATGTTTTTATATAACTGTTCCAACACGTCCAAAATATTTTATAATTTTTATTTAGCAAAAAAGCAAAAACAAAAAAAATGCTGCAATTTGAAATTGCCAAAATTAAACACAAATTTATATAAAAAAACCTTAACCTTAATTAGTTTAATTATAACAACATTAACATAAAAACAAAAACAAAACAAAAAAAAATCTTGTAAATTTTCTCTGCATGGTGATAAATTTTAAAAGTATATTTAACTTTAAATAAATAATTGTAAATATTTAAAACAATTTTTTTTTTTGCAAATTAATTTTTTAACTTAACTTATTTTTAAACTAAATTTTAAATAAACTTATTTTAATCTATAAACCTAAAATTGTTGTTACCTAATCGTTTTTTTATTATTAATTTAAAAACAAAAAAAAAATTTTCTTTTTTTCTATAATTTTCACATAAAATAAATTGTATATAAACCCACCCCCTCCTATGTAATTATTGTAATTGTCTTTTCACACTCAATAAACGAGAAAAAAACATAAAAAACTAAAATTAGAATTTACTAGTTTATACGATATATTTTACTATTGTAATTGTTAATTATAATATAATTAGTTTTAGTATTTTTAAATGTAATTTGCCATATTTATAGTTCAGTATACATTACAAAAAAATTCACTTACACACCCCCACTCACACAAATATTTAAAATAAAACCTTAAAACAAACCAACAAACATAAATATATTTAAAAAAAAAACAATACAAATAAATAAACATTCTAAATATAATATAAAACAAATTGTATGTATTTAATTATAAAAAAGGCAATCACATATTGAAAACAAACAAAAAAAATCAAACAGAAAAAAAAAATATTATTAAAGAAATGTTTAAAATAATAATTAAAAAAAAAGTATTTAAGTTGAAATATTCAAAAGAAAAAAAATAATAAAAGAAATAAATAAAAAAAATAAAAACCCATCTAGACTTTTTATTTTAACAGTTTTTCATTGTAAACGTAATGGGCATTTTTTTCTCTACCTCCCCTATTGTTTAAATGGCAACGATACCATGATTTATTAAAGGAACGTGATAAAGCAAAAACACAATACTTGCCGTAAAGTGTAATGAAAAACTCTAGGAAACAGTAATAACTTTACAAAAGGGACCTGTATTCTTTCCACTAAAAATATAGTTTTTATAACTCATATTTTTTTGAGAAAATGGAACAAAATTTTAAGAACTTAAAGTAAATGACAATCAACAAAAATGGAATTTATAGAACAATGATGCTAATTATTCGATTATTAATATCTCATCAATAAAGTGAACATAATTAAAAACTCAAATCATTTTCTATCCATAAAGGTTTAGATCTAGTTCGATACTAATTCTGTACAGTTTAATTCACAGTTTTAATTCAGTTCTAGTTTAGTCGTAATGCAGTTCTAGTTCAGTTCTAGTTCAGTTCTAGTTCAGTTCTAGTTCAGTTCTACTTCAGTTCTAGTTCAATTTTAGTTCAGTTCTAGTTCAGTTCTAGTTCAGTTTTAGTTCAGTTTTAGTTCAGTTCTAGTTCAGTTCTAGTTCAGTTCTAGTTTAGTTCTAGTTCAGTTCTAGTTCAGTTCTAGTTCAGTTCTAGTTCAGTTCTAGTTCAGTTCTAGTTCAGTTCTAGTTCAGTTCTAGTTCAGTTCTAGTTCAGTTCTAGTTCAGTTCTAGTTCAGTTCTAGTTCAGTTCTAGTTCAGTTCTAGTTCAGTTCTAGTTCAGTTCTAGTTCAGTTCTAGTTCAGTTCTAGTTCAGTTCTAGTTCAGTTCTAGTTCAGTTCTAGTTCTGTTCTAGTTCTGTTCTAGTTCTGTTCTAGTTCTGTTCTAGTTCTGTTCTAGTTCTGTTCTAGTTATTTTCTAGTTCTGTTCTAGTTTTGTTCTCGTTCTGTTCTAGTTCTGTTCTAGTTCTGTTCTAGTTCTGTTCTAGTTCTGTTCTAGTTCTGTTCTAGTTCTGTTCTAGTTCTGTTCTAGTTCTGTTCTAGTTCTGTTCTAGTTCTGTTCTAGTTCTGTTCTAGTTCTGTTCTAGTTCTGTTCTAGTTCAGTTCTAGTTCAGTTCTAGTTCTGTTCTAGTTCTGTTCTAGTTCTGTTCTTGTTCAGTTCTAGTTCTGTTCTAGTTCTGTTCTAGTTCAGTTCTAGTTCAGTTCTAGTTCAGTTCTAGTTCAGTTCTAGTTCAGTTTTAGTTCAGTTCTAGTTTAGTTCTAGTTTAGTTCTAGTTCAGTTCTAGTTCAGTTCTAGTTCAGTTCTAGTTCAGTTCTAGTTCAGTTCTAGTTCAGTTCTAGTTCAGTTCTAGTTCAGTTCTAGTTCAGTTCTAGTTCAGTTCTAGTTCAGTTCTAGTAGTTCAGTTCTAGTTCTGTTCTAGTTCTGTTCTAGTTCTGTTCTAGTTCTGTTCTAGTTCTGTTCTAGTTCAGTTCTAGTTCTGTTCTAGTTCTGTTCTAGTTCAGTTCTAGTTCTGTTCTAGTTCTGTTATAGTTCTGTTCTAGTTCTGTTCTAGTTCTGTTCTAGTTCTGTTCTAGTTCTGTTCTAGTTCTGTTCTAGTTCTGTTCTAGTTCTGTTCTAGTTCTGTTCTAGTTCTGTTCTAGTTCAGTTCTGTTCTGTTCTAGTTCTGTTCTAGTTATTTTCTAGTTCTGTTCTAGTTCTGTTCTAGTTCTGTTCTAGTTCTGTTCTAGTTCTGTTCTAGTTCTGTTCTAGTTCTGTTCTAGTTCTGTTCTAGTTCTGTTCTAGTTCTGTTCTAGTTCTGTTCTAGTTCTGTTCTAGTTCTGTTCTAGTTCTGTTCTAGTTCTGTTCTAGTTCTAGTTCTAGTTCTGTTCTAGTTCTGTTCTAGTTCTGTTCTAGTTCTGTTCTAGTTCTGTTCTAGATCTGTTCTAGTTCTGTTCTAGTTCTGTTCTAGTTCTGTTCTAGATCTGTTCTAGATCTGTTCTAGTTCTGTTCTAGTTCTGTTCTAGATCTGTTCTAGATCTGTTCTAGTTCTGTTCTGGTTCTGTTCTGGTTCTGTTCTGGTTCTGTTCTGGTTCTGTTCTAGTTCTAGTCCTGTTCTACTTCTGTTCTAGATCTGTTTTAGTTCTGTTTTAGTTCTGTTCTAGTTCTGGTCTAGTTCTGTTCTAGTTACGTTCTAGTTCGAGTGCTAGTTACGTTCTCTTTCTTTTCTAGTTCTGTTCTAGTTCAAGTTCAGTTTTAATTCAGTTTACTAAGATTTCACTGTTTACTAAGATTTTCCCTAAATAAAACAAATGTGTGTGAATTTTTTGTTTTTATGTAAATTTTTATTCAAATCATTCATAATCAAAATAATGAGCAAGAAATTGTAAGGTAACAACTCAATTTTTAACCAATTTTACAAAAAAAAAAAAATATACAACAAATTTTGAGGAATACCACTGAAAATACCCTTAAAAATTGACCTTCTATAGCTCTGAATATAACAACATGATTACATTAAAATGATGTAATAATTAACTATTGAACAACAAATATAATAACAGTATTCATACTACATTAGTTTCTTTAAAAACACAATGACTCAGAACTTTTATTGGTAAAAAAAAACAAGAGAAAAAACACAAGATTTATTAAATTGCTTAATTTCAATATCAAATATAAAAAAATAAACTAACAATAAAGGTGTTACAAGTACAATATTTTGAACATAATAATTTACACTTTGAACTGAGTTAGAGATACATTTATCCGCATATTAATACATATGAATTGTATTTATGTTGCAACAACATTACATATTTAGTCTCTGTAGAAGTAACATTGAAATTTCTATTCATTGTTTTATGAAGTTTGCATTCAAAGTTTGTTTCTTAAATCTTTTGTTTTGCATTGCAAATAGTTTCGTTGTTTATGACTTTTGTTTTAGAATTTAAGGTGTAGTTTAACTAATTAAGTTATTTGTTTTCTTTTGTTGTTATTGGCATGAATTTAGATTGTTTAGTAAATGTAAATGGTTTAGTCATGTAAGCTTTTAAGTTCTTTTGAGTATTTAGATAAAATATTATTATTTATTACTTAATTTGCATTGTGACTTACATATGAAGTCACTTAGGAATTATCTTAATGACAATGTGAGAAATTTTTTCCAAATAACGAATAAACTCAAATACCGTTAAAATAACTGTCCTTTTGCTCCCAGAACGGAAAAGGCAAAATTGTAACATAATTAAAAATTATCTTTAAACACAAACAAAGAAACTTCCTTTTAGGAATAAACATTTTTACTTAAAATCAAACAGTTATTAGTTTTAAAATCATGAATAAAATAGCAACAGTCAACAAGCCACAGCAGAAACAACTTCTTGGATAATTTTTAAGATTTATCTACAATTCCATTTCAGCAACAACAATAAACTGTAGTTTATTCAAATCATGTTGCTGTTGCTGTTGCTGCTGTTGTTG